TCAACGCATTTGCATTATAAAAATCTTTAACGTATATTGTTTTACAAAAAACACTATTGTGATTGCATTAAATATATGATTTACTGAAGTTTCCTTAAGGAGTACATATTATACATATGTTAAGGATGTTTCAAAAAATAATAATAATAATTACCACAGATAATATACAACGAACCTATCCTGCTGATCGCCTCAATGGGAATATGTTCCAAAATCAATTGATTTTATGAAATGTATATAAATGTTATCAGTGTTTTTGATTTGTCGCAGGACATAATTAAGACTCGGCATTCCGAATGTATACATTCACAATTTGGCGTATTATATTCCGACACTTTGTAAAGGTAACAGACATTTTTTTGTACAGCCAGTAAACTATGTATTATTGTATGTATGTATTTTAAGTAACTTCCTTGCAGTTTGTTATTTAACAGTTTTAATCATGACGTAACTAACATGATTAAATGATTGCTTGGCAATTAAACTAATCGTTTAACGTCGGACATTAATAACAGAATGAGAGTGCATTTTTGAAACAAACAGTCATAGGACCTTACTATAAAAAACTTTTGAAAGTGCTTTAAATATATTTTAGCATCATTTTTAAATAATCATTGCTATTGAAAAATATTTATGCGATGGCTTGTGTTCTTAATCAATCTTACTTACTAATATTATAAATGCGAAAGTTTAGATGTTAGTTTGAGTTTGTTGCCTAAATTGATAAAACACGGGCACTATCTTTTGTTATTTTTTTTATTCCACACAGACGAAGTCGCGGGCGAAAGCTAGTAAATAAGAAAATATTTATGTAATTATACCAAAAACTGTGTCGCGATACATATTTATGGTGAAAAATACAACCACGTTGTCGTCCATATTATCAATCAGCGGTGGTCAAAGTGTTAAAACATATGTATTGGTTTTTTTTATAATGTTCTAATAATCATTACTCATAATTTCTATTATCAAAATTTCAATGCGGTTCAATTAACAATTTTGTTTAGTCATGTTTGCACATTATAATTGAACTAGCTGGTGCGTGCGACTTCGTCGACGTAAAATTAAAAAATATAGCATATGTTATTTACAGATAGCTTTTTAAAGCTTTTTAAAAAAAATTGAAATCGTTTCAGTAGTTTTTGAGTTATTTCAATATTACAAAAATACAAATTTTTCCTCTTTATAATATTAGTATAGATTACAAGACAATATGTATGAAATTTTTTTGTTGGTCAGTGGCTGCGAGGAGGGGGCTCGTTTATCTCGATTGTCCCCAGACGCGAATACGTGGGAATCCAATATAGTAGTGGTCCGACTCCGACCCCATTTCATTTCAAATGCTTTCAATTTTTATTAAACTTTGTCCATCACTTTAAAACACGTTACCATTTTATTTTCAATCCACGACTGTGATAAAAAAAATAAGAATATTTGAAATAAAACTTAATAACATAAACCATAATTTAGGGAATTCAATTTTTCGGTAGTACAGGAGCACATACAAATATACTGTCAAAATATGTATGTCAAAATAATTTAAAATCACGCAAATAATGTACGCCGATCGGCACAAATCTTACTGTACCAGTGGAGTAAGAGCGCTCGCACACCTTTGACAAAACTATCGCACAACTGTTTACTCGCGCTTTGATTCCTAGAGAGTATTATTTAGATGTGCGCACACTGTTCGATTTATAGTTGTGTTTAGTTGAATTGGCGGCGAAACAATCGACAATCGCACAACAGGTATGCGATAGTTTAGTCAAAGGTGTACGCGCTTTAAACGAGGAAGAACATTACATTTGCAATTACTTTGTTCAGCCATCCGTTATCAACAAAACATCTTATAATACAGGATAATTTGCAACAGTACGAATTGTGAACAAGTCACGCTACCAAGTAGTTAAGCAGATTTAAATAGCTCTAACGAATTCTAATTGATTTACTGGACTCAAGTCGTCGATTAGGAATCCCAATGGATTCCCTGATGATTTATTTCGTCATCCATGTTATAAAAGAACGAGTGTGAGCAGAATTTTGTTATTTTACAATCCAAGGTCGTGAATCTCAGTGTATTAATATCTAAGCGTGAATTTAAACAGCAAAAACGCCTGTACAAATGTCATTTGTCTATGAAAAAAACGTAGATAACAAAATTAACACATGTGTTTTGAACCAATGCAAATGTAAGGAGTTTTTTTTTCACTATTTATTCGATTCCACTAACTAAGTTATTCTTTTCACTTTATTAGAACAAAACTGCGTCAATATTTTTTTTATTCGATTTTTTAACAGTGGATATAGACAATCCAACGTCTTTTTACTTCTTAGTTATAAAACGGTTGCCAGCACGTTGACGATTCCCACGCGAATCAATTGACTGCAATTTATCAACTGTCCCCCTTTTAGCATGTATGCAACCAGTTTATAACATTTTATGCTGAATTAGATCGCGTTTTTCTCGTAACATCGAAAGTGGAGCTTAAAAGGTCAAAGGTCAATGTTTGACGTCATTCGAGAACTACAGGAATAAAATTCGTAATAAATCTAATGTGGATTATGTAATTTTTTTACAAATCATGGAATCTTTTATCCCTTTGACTCAAGGGCGGATCCAGCTTTGGCGCCAGGGGGGGG